TGCTCCACACGTTTAACCTTGTGCCAGTCTCTGCTTAGTCAATTTAAATCAGTTTTAAATTTTTGAAGATTGAACTTTGTATTATTAGCTGAAGAAACCAAAAACCTCCAAGAATGATTATCAAAATTTTTTTTTTATAAAGAGGTCAAATAATATCTTTGATAAGTGGGAAGGGTAGAGTGGATTAATACTCTCCAATCCATGAGCAGTAGTACTTAAATCACATTAGTGGTAAAAGACAGGACTGAACCATTGCTGTAAAAGTAACATCTATATACTAAACTCAAATGCAATAAGTTATGTATGTGTTCTGACAGTTGAATATTGACAATCTATTCATGTTTAGTTGCTCTTAGTGACAATACAAAACTTAATTCTTTATCCAAGGTATTTATAATTTATCTTAAGATTAACAGCTTAAAGATTAACCTATTAACTTCAGATGACAGGAATTCCTGTTGTTGCACTTCTATGGCTTAACAATGAATGACAGGAAGTTTTGCCACAGTTAATGCATTATTCATTTTGGCTCCAGCTGACAGAGGTACAATGCTTAATCAGTCCATTCTCAAATATTTATGAGCTTAAAAATGATTAACATTTATATTTTGTGGTTTCTGACTTAAAAAGGTCAGATATTTACTGGTATTAATCTATAAACCAATTGATTTAATATGCCTTGCAGTTATCAATTTTGCAATATGAACTCAGGAAATAAATTGAATGGCTAAGGGAAAAAGTGTCTAAGGAATAGAAAATTCCCTGAATACTGCCCAATTGCTTAAAACCAAACATGCTTTCAAGAACAACCCATGAAAATTAAAGCCTTATCAAATTCAAAGATGGTAACAATGGAAGGTTATTCTCTTTAAAACTGTTCAGTCCAAAAGGAAATTCCATAGATTTGGAAATATGCATTTCCAAGTAAAAGAAAATGCAGATGCTATGTCAAGCAATTGGAAGGCAAGAGACAAATATCATAAGTTCAGAACTAACAATGAAGCTCAAGGACACATGGCACAGTGGATAAAGGCATTGGTTAGATCCAGTGACAGGACCCAAACTGATAAGTTCAATACCAGAATAAAGAAGAACTTTCCAGAGGTGAATGTGCTATTAAACAAATCTAATATAAATTAAACTTGATTAGTGGAAAAGAAAGAGGACATTTTAAAAGAATTAAAGTCATTCAGTATATCAAGTATCCTTTCTATAATGATTATAGTCTGGAGTGATTATAGACTGGTTAATAATTAATAGTAAATTAAGTAGACAAAATTTGAGGACAATAGTCCAAATAATGTAAATCTTATCTCATTCATTAATGATAAGACAATCTTAACAATATAAAATAAGCAGATGATAAACAGAAGAAAAATACAGGATTTATTGGAAAAACTATTAAGACAAATAAGAACAAAATGACTAAAACACCAAAAAAACATCATAAAATACAAGGTTGTCAGCAAAAGGAAAGGTTCAAGATGCAAAACCAGTATCAACACAAGAAAAAAAAATTTATTATCCAGGAAGTGTTTAAAATAAAAGCCATACAAAATGAAACACAAAATCTGAAGGACAGTGAAAGATGCCTTTGAAAAGTGGACATAGAAATTGAGAAACAAGAAAAATCATTTAAAAAAAGGAAGGTCATGGCTAAACTATTACAAAATATTGGTCCTGCTATATGTCAGTGGATGCTGGAAAATCTCATCACAGATGGAAAAGGGGCTTGAGCCAATGAAAATGTGGTTCTACAAAAGGATGCTGAAATTCAGAATGTACTAAATAAAATACAACAACATGAAAAAGTTTTAGGGCCAAATTGAAAATAAGTCAGTCAATTAAACTTAGAATCAGAAAGCTAGATAATGGCCATTTTTAGGGCACATAATGAGCCAAAAGAGGGCTTCAAGAATTTGACATAAGAAACCATGACACATTATAACACAATGTCAAACAATACAAAACAGTGCATAACCTACCTAAACATTTGTGTAAAGATAGCAGAAGAACAATGATTACAGAGAGAACACAAAAGCAAAAATTTAGTAAGAGCTGCAAAGGAAAAATGTTGTGGATATTCATTGATTGGACAAGTCCTGAAGGGACATGGCACAGAAGAAAAAAAATCAATGATATTTGGCTTTATAGTTCTATATAGTTATTTGTATTAAAACAGGGTTGCTCCCAACAATATCATTGAATTCTTTGGCAGATTCCAGATCTTGAAAGGAAGTTCATTTCTCTCTGGGTGTCCTTCACTTTTATCCTTGTGCAAATAATGCCAGTTTACATTTAAATAAATACTTATATGAGTAAAACAATTGTTAAAGGCATGTATTTTTTTAATCCAAATCGATCCTGATCATTCATCAAGATGATTTTCTTATGAAGAAGGTTCCTAAGGAAAATGGATTTTCTATAGATATTGAAGCCAGAATTTTTGGAAAGTTCTTTGTTTGGTGAACTAGATGTTTTTGATTTTAAATATTCACCATAATTGGTGTCGATGTCTCATCAATTTAAAATTAAGCTGGCTAGATCTAAGCCATAAGTTCTATGTTAACAGTTTATTTTGATAGAAAGAATAGCTTGTTGAAGAACACAAAAGCTCTATGACTTTCCAGCTAACTTTCATCTGCAAAACTTAAATCACAATTTCAATGGCTATCTGTTGTCCTGAATTATGCTTTTCTCTTCCTGCTCATTATTAATGTTTCTCTAAGAAAATGAACCATGTCCACAAAAACCTTTCTGTCTTGCATGGGGCAAAAGGTAATTAAAACAAAAACAAAACAGAATTTCTTATTAATATAAATGTTTCATAAGTACACAAAGAAGTAGATATCATTGTTTTGTTAACCATGGAAAAAACTCTTGGCTGTTAGCATTAATTTCCTTGTCAAAAAGGAACAGAGGATTTCAAATTCTTAAATGTATGTGTTCAGTAAATGTAACATATAGTAGGAACAAAATAATGTCACTAAAAAAATAAGATGTCCAGGTAAATGTCAGTTCTATTTGACATAAAATTTGATATCAATGTGCAAGTTCAAATGAGCTGTTGAGGTCATGATCTTGGAAGACTTAAAAATAAAATAACCTAAAATAAACAAATGAAACAATCTCAACCTAACCAGTTGTATCTTAATTTGGATGGCATCAAATCTAAGAAAAATTATAAATGGAATCCAAAGTCTGTGATAACAGGAACAAACCCAATGACCCGTCTGCAGCAGGGTGGTGATATTTAACAGCTAAAACAAAAAAAAAAAAAAAAAAAAAAAAAAAAAAAGCTGAAACCAACTAAGCTGAATTGGCATCTAATAATCTTGTTTTTTTTTCTTTCTTTCACTGTTTTGTTTGAAATAAAAAGTTGTATAAAAACTTTCAAAGCAGACTATACCTAATGTAATAAATTTGACAAATATTCATTTTTTCAATATCTGTCTATATCTCCGAGATGAGGTATTATGATTATTTACATTATTCAGATCATTATCCTCATCTGCATTGACATTTCACAATGTTTTTCAGCTGTTTGTACATTCCGGGCTTCTTCATATGATTGGAATTTCAAAACAAACCATTTATTCACCTAAAGAAGTCTGGATGTGGTTTACAACAGCCAAAACATTGTGAATATGGCAGTGACAATGAGCATAACAGTTCGAATAATGTAAATAATTCTTTTCTTGTATGTGTCATATCCCTTCAGGATGTTAATGATTATTTCTCTCCATAATTTTCTGTCCTTTGCTGCACTTAATTAATTTTGTTATCTCCATAAGCTGTGTTCCATCATGCATTTACTCAAGGATAGCTTGGTTATGTGTTGTTTTCTCTGTTCCTCTTCCCTTCAATATGTCCTTTGAGTGTCAACTTTTCCAAGCTCTCCTTCCTCATTATATACCTGAGAAATGTCAAACTACTTTCTGATGTTAAGCATAAGTGCTCTTTTTTTTCTCTTTCTCTAAAACTTTGCTGTTGCTCACGTTTGTTTTATGGTATTCTCAGCATCCTTCTGTAGAACCATATTTCCAAAATATGAGTCTTTGTGCTAAGCAAAACTCAGATTTTAAGTAATTTAGTATAAAATTTGTGAAAACAGTTAATGAATTAATCTGATAAAGCTGAGGGATAGCAAGTGAGTTTGTCCTCATTAGGTGCTCTATATATGGCCATATGCCAGAGACTATACTAAGCTTAAGTAAATACCTATTGAAACAAAAGTATTTGACATTATGACAGTGATTATGATTTGAGTCTAAAAAGAAATGCCTTCGGGGGAAAATGTTTTTGAAATTTAGAAATTAAAGGAAGAATTTTTTTTTTTTTTAGAAATTTCAAAGTGACTCCATTAATTATTTAGAAGCTTAAAAACTGGAAAGAATAATTAATGATTTTGTCACCAGAAAATAAAAAGAGTTGCCTGCCCTTCAAGAGTCATTCACATTGATCCAATCAAAACAGATTTTCAGACTGACAGTGGAGGAGTGAAGCAAAGTGGGGAACTATCAGTTGGCTTGATCACTTGATCAATGATCTCAAGATAACCTGGTTTGGTTTTATTTCAAGATTTGGCAGGTGGACATTAAAAAAAAGAATAGTGAAAAAAGAATGAAGCACTTTATTATTATTCACAAATTAATAGAATTATTTAACATGGCAAATGCAGTTATTCAGAAAAAGAAGGTGAAGCGTAAAAAAAGAGAAAAAGAAGACAGATTATGCAAGAGATGCATAAAAAGAAAGACAAATAAGAGAGTGGGAGAGAAAGAAAAAAGTTATAAAATGGACAGAGAGAAAGAAAGAATGAATCGAGATATAAAAAAAAGAGAAAAGATGAGAGATAGAATGAAAGCAAGAGACGTATAAAAAAATGTTAAAGAGAAGAAAGAAAGAAAGATAGAAAGAAAGAAAGAAAGGAAAAAAGAAAGAGATATAAAAAGAGAAAAAGTGAGATAAAATGAAAGCAAGAGACATATAAAAAAATGTTAAAGGGAAGAAAAAAGCAAAAAAGAAAGAAAGCAAAAGAAAGAAAGAAAGCAAAAAGAAAGAAAAGAAAGAAAAAGAAAGAAAAAAAAAGAAAAGAAAGCAAAAGAAAGAAAGAAAAAGCAAAGAAAGAAAAGCAAAAGAAAGAAAGCAAAGAAAGAAAGAAAGCAAAGAAAGAAAAAAGCAAAGAAAGAAAAACAAAGAAAGAAAAAAAGAAAGAAAGAAAAAAGCAAAGAAAGAAAAAAGCAAAAAAGAAAAGAAAGAAAGAAATCAAAAGAAAGAAAGAAATCAAAAGAAAGAAAGAAATCAAAAGAAAGAAAGAAATCAAAAGAAAGAAAGAAAGCAAAAGAAAGAAAGAAAGCAAAAGAAAGAAAAAAGCAAAAAAGAAAAAAAAGAAAGAAAAAAAAGCAAAGAAAGAAAAAAAAGCAAAGAAAGAAAGAAAGAAAGAAAGAAAAAAAAAGAAAGAAAAAAAAGAAAAAGAAAGAAAAAAAGGAAAGAAAGAAAAGAAAAAGAAAAGAAAGAAAGAAAAGAAAAGAAAGAAAAAAGCAAAAAAAAAAAAAAAAGAAAGAAAAAAAAAAAGAAAGAAAGAAAAAAGAAAAAAAAGAAAAAAGGAAAAAAAAGCAAAGAAAGAAAGAAAGCAAAAAAAGAAAAAGCAAAGAAAGAGCAAAAAAAAAGCAAAAGAAAGAAAAAGCAAAGAAAAAAGAAAGAAAAAAGAAAAAGAAAAAGAAAGAAAAAAAAGAAAAGAAAGAAAGGAAAGAAAAAAAGAAAAGAAAAGAAAGAAAGAAAAAAAGCAAAAGAAAGAAAGAGCAAAAAAAAAAAAGAAAAAAAAAAAAAGAAAAGAAAAAAAAAAGAAAAGAAAGAAAAAAAGAAGAAAAAAAAAAGCAAAAGAAAGAAAGAAAAAAGAAAAAAAGAAAGTAAAAGAAAGAAAAAAAGAAAAGAAAGAAAGAAAGAAAAAAAAAAGAAAGAAAGAAAAAGAAAGGAAGGAAAAAAAAAAGAAAAGAAAAAGAAAGAAAGAAAAAAGAAAGAAAGAAAGAAAAAAAAAAAAAAAAAAAGAAAGAAAGAAAAAAGAAAAGAAAAAAGAAAAAGCAAAGAAAAAAGCAAAGAAAGAAAAAAAAAAAAGAAAAGCAAAAAAAAGCAAAAGAAAAAAAGAAAGAAAGAAAAAAGAAAAAAGGAAAAGAATGGAAAAGGCAAACAGAACTTGTAAAACAGAGAAAAAAAAAAGATAAAAAGATTAACAAAGTAAAGTGGAGGTAAAAATATATATTAAAATATGTTCAACTAAGTTCTGTTGTCCACAGCATTTTTAAAAATGTGATGTATTTTACACAAAACCTATTTGGTAATCTTACATAAATTTTATATAAAACCCGAGTTAAAATAATTCCAGGAATCTCGTAGAAAAATAGACAAAAATAGCCGTCAGCATTTCTTCTAGTAACCTTGTGAACATATCAATCCCAACAGCACTAGAAATTGACAAGTGGCATGCAGGAGACACAATATTGTTCTAGTAAATGATTAATGTTTTTAGGTCAAAAAAAAGTTTTTTTCTTAAATATTTTATGTTATTAAAGTTACAGTTGAAAGGTCTACTGTTAAACTTTACAGAAATGACTTTAAATATGATAACTTGCAGTTGTGTTATAAATAAACAGTGTCCTCTATATTTGCTTACATTCTAAAAGATTTTAGAAGATGATAGTGAAATGGAGGGTGGGGAGGAAGGGAGGGGGAGAACAGAAGTGTTAAAAACAATGATTTTGATCCAAGAAAGAAATTAAAAATGAATTTTGCAAACATGAGTTTCAAAAACACCTCCACTGTAGACAATTTTCAATAAATTTACAAACTTGTTTTATATATATATATATATATATATATATATATATATATATATATGAAAAGAGTTTCTGTGTGTATAGACAGATATACATAAGATACATCCATTAAATACACACATATACTTTTACCACATATATATATATATATATATAATATATGCAAACTGGCAAGGATAAAAAATATAACTATTTCAGACACCTGGTATCTGAAACTCTTCCGTTTTAAATATATATATATATATGAGATATATATATTCCTGTCCCCACACACCACTGGAGGATGATGACAAACATGCTGATGATATAGATATTGTATTAGGCTAAGAAATATATATGAAAAAAAAAATATCAACATCATCTATCAAGTGTTATAAGAAGCAGAACTTATGATGAATATATTTACCAAAACAGAAAACTATAATCTTGAAATTGAATGAAATAGTGATGGCACACACTGAATCCATTATAAAATATCATATATGTGGAATCAACAAATATTTGAAATATATATGTATGGATATATATATATAAATATAAGTATAGGAGATAAAATTGGAAACACTATAAATATATATACTAAAGCCAAACATATATTTGAGAACTGGAGTCATGTTCTTAATTAGCCTTGTATATTTATATATATATATACCTATACATATAGCCTTACACACCCGGCAGCAATGCCTTTGATCGGGAGATTGCAGGTTTATAGGATCACTAATGAAATTATTATTTTCACAGGTTCACCCTGATCAGACTATTATATATACCTGTTAGGGTCCCAGCTATGAGCAAATAATATAACTCCCCAATAAACATAACAAAATAATATATGAAAGTGCATTTTATAGTGTTAAAAAATACACAGCAATGCATTTATACTAAAATTACCAACAATACATTTTATAATAAAATGACTATATACATACATTTTTAGAATACCAACAATATATTTTATAATACAATGACCAATAATACATTTATTCAGAAGTTGAAAATATACAATTGCGTTCAAAAATATATTATATATATATATAAAAATGTGTTCGAAAATATTTAGATTTCGGCATTAAATATACCTATAGAGGTGTTGATATGCCTTCAAAAAACTGCAACTAATAAAACCTGTTGTTAGATGTCTAAACAGCTAACTGTATACAATCGCTATACGGATCAGTGATTAAAAAATTATATAAAAATTAACGCTGTAGGTCTTATCAAGGAGTATACCTTCTTCGAACCATACAGACAGGCGCTACAGAACTTGAAGAGAAAAACAATGGTAAAATCAGGATCTTGAAGTTCCACACTCACATATAAACAAAACGTTAGGAAAGGAAATCAACAAGATAACAGTTTGCGGCATTCAGAAATATATACCAGGAAAATGGTTTTCATAGGAAGATTTTATGAATTCAACTGACATTAGACGTGGCTGTTCGGTCAGTATAAGCCGAAATATATATGGGGAAACGGTTATATTATATCCACCATAGTTTGAAAGAAAACGAGCAAAGAACAAGCAATATATTGGGAAATTGTTACACAAGAACTTATATAACACAGATACAACAACAATAGTTAAAAAAATGTATTACATATATTTCTGAGTGAAAAATAATAAAAAGAATCATTGCCCATTGCGAGGTTATGCTACATTTGATTGGAGCAAAGATCACCTGTTATTTATAAATATTGCGTCCTGTCGTCCGTCTGTCAGCCATAAGTAATAATATTAAACGCCAACGAGATAACAAAGCGACCATCATACCGAGAGGTCGTATATCTTCAGAACTGCTCACGCGCTCTTACTTATCGGTTTGGCTACGCCCAACGCGACAAGTCAGAACCAAAGCGGCTGCTGTTCGCGGCGTGAGTCGGTGTTCAGAGCAATAATAATAGCCTGGATTGAGAGAGCGGATCACTCCCCGCGATTCATACATTCAACTGATTGATCTGCCTATGTACGTGAGTTAATGACGATTCTGTGTTTAGCCTTTATCAGAGTCTATAACATTGCCGAACAGTCTCACCAGGTTAAGGGCAACAGTTTGAAACTGTCAACAGTTTCTTGATCAGGGAGGCATAGATATTCGTGCATGAAGTACAAGATCAATTCTCACACACACATTACTTGTCGCCTTTCAATAATATATATATATATATATATATATATATATATATATATACACACACACACTCAGATACAGTCATATATATATATATATATATATATATAAGCTACTTTATAGATAAAACATTTTCACATATGAACTTATATTTTATATCTACAATATATATACATTTACACACATCATACAAGTTATATATCCTATATATATAACCAAAAAGTACACTATAACAGAGATACATTCCTTTCAAAATCCAATAAAACTGTCAAATGACCAATAGAATTCATAGCATGAATCCATCCAGCTCTTATCTTGAATAACAACTTAAAAGAGACTGTTTGACCAACACAAGGACTTAGCAAAATTCATGACCAAAAATACAACAAAAAAATCCAATGAATACTACAGACAAAAGTTTATTTTCTCTATCAAGACATTCATTACTGTAGGTCACTGCAACCAAATGTTTTTTTTTCCTCCTGGTAATGGTCATGTTGGTCGAAACTAGTCGAAGAATCTAACGGCAATAATAATAAAAACGAAAGAATATTAATATACAACCCAGTGTGTATGAAGATTTTAATTTTTATTATATTTTTCTTGTTCAAAATACACACTATTCGTCTTGTTTTTCTTAAGGGCAGTAGCGGAAACGCAATAAGGAATATCTCAGAGTTTTAAATCAGTACGTAGATTCCATTTTCAAGACTGTTCATCGCTGCATGGCCGGGAATTTCCTCATATTTTTTGGGAAAAACTAAATAAATTTTAGCATCAATTAAACTAGGACGGATATGGCTTCGTATTGTCAATAAAGTTTTACCGTTTGCACTTTTATCGAAGTTAGGACTTTGTCTCAGATATTGCAGTGAGGTTCCTTTACGTAGGTGGAAAATCGGTGCCACATCTTCCATCTTCATCACTGAGATAAGTTACACTTATGGACTAATTTTCAGCACTCAATATCCAGCCGTTTAGCCGGCCATGAAACAATGATAGTATTTATTGTAATAGATATTTCTACAGAGACACTGGGGAATGTATGGCGACAAAATAAAGACAAGGACAAGTTTGTTAGCTGGATATTAGAGTCAATATTAAATGCATATTAAAAGGAATTTAGGGTTAGAAATGCGTAGAAATTACAAGCTATTACATTTCTTTATACAGAGAAAGTAAAAAAGTCGAGAAAATCCTGTTGAATGGTTTTGCATTCATTAGTTTTTTTTTTCTCGTATGAAACTCATCAATGTCGCTAAAAAACATTTAGATTGAAATGGATAAGGAAAGATAGAGAAGATACGAAATAATATAAAAGAGCAGAAGCATAATAGCACAGAATTTCAGCTTCCAAGACCCGTGAATTCCCCACACAAAGTTATTTTCCACTTTTCCATTTAATATTTTAATGATTTCTTCTCTTCCAACAATTTATAATCTTCTCCGACAATGTATCTAGTGACAGGGACCGTGTTCGTTTTATTTCACTACTGTCAAATGTTATTAGTGATAAGCAGTATAAACCTTCTTTGTAATTCAACGATAGGTTCATGTTACTGACACAAACAACATCAAAGTATCAGAACTTACGTTTGATCACGCAATGTCACGTGTAAAGTGATATTATGAAATGAAAAAAAAAGAAAAGATGGTGAAAAACAGGATTGAGAATGGCAAAATTCAAATCTTGGTTTATAACTGGAAATAATAGAAAATATTTTATACATCAAGTTTGTCGATAATTTAAACATTACTATATCACGATTTAACTCTTTAAACCATACATCAATATAGTTTTTCTCAGACATGCAAACGTACACACATATATTTATAACTAGCTTTTTTTTAAAAAAATAACTGAAAATTTTGACCAATGCAAGTGTTGCTCGACTTCAGTGCAAGGATAAGTACTTAAATTGCTTAATTTATGTTAAGTAAAGAGAAAAAATATTTTAATCTAACGAATCAAGTTGTTGATTTAGTTTGGTAGCATATCACCATTCTAAGATCATTTGAATTTTGTACGTAATTGGATACTGCCCATTCAAAGTAAATGTATGTTTTTTAGATATCTATTATATATAAAAAATTTATTGTTGGCAATTTTATTATAAAATGTAGTTTTTCAAAGCAAAATACGAAAAAAAAAATTGTTATTTTGAAAAAGAAAATTTTTTTGGTTTTTTGCTTTATAAAAATGTACATTGGATTTTTTGTTTTGGCAATTACCATTTTCCTATAGTCATTTTTATTCATAAATGTTATCTTCTACGATTAAATCGGAGAAATTTTCATATATATATTATTTGTCTTCTCGACTTTCTCAAAAATCAACTAAACTCCAAATCAGTAGTCTATTACTTTTCTTTTAAATATTTTCATGTTAACCCAGGATAAAACCAGACAAGTTGGTGTATAGAATTCTTTAATTGCAGTTTACTCACCAGATTGACGTAAAGTTAATCTTTATATATTTGAAATGGTTTGTCACCATAATCTTTGTTTTCTTCCATCGCTCTTCGGCCGTTGTGGAACTCTCTGGCTTGTTCCTTCTCAGTCAACTTTGATCTTCAAAAATTTAATAGCAATTCAATGGTTATCTTCTGTTTTCTTTATTCTTGTTCTTTTATTGTTCTCTTTCATTAATAGTATTTTTTCCTCATATTAACACTCTGTAACCCCTTACGTCTTAGTTGCTTTATTGTCTTCCTTGGGGGTGAAATGATTTTTTTAAATATAGTTCCCATAACGTTTGTCAGTCCACCGACTTTGTATATTTCTACTGTTTTCTGAGATCCTTATTTTCTGGTTTAATGTCCGCCTTTGATTTTTTTTGTTCAGTTCATTTTATGTCCGTAAGACACTTCTTTTTTATGACCGTGAGATTCTTCATCTTTTTCTTTTTAATGACTTTGAGACACTTCTTTTTTTAATGACTGTGATACACTTCTTTTTTTTAATGATTGTGATACACTTCTTTTTTTAATGGCCATGTGACACTTCTTTTTTTAATGATCGTGCGACACTTCTTTTTTTATGAGCGTGAGATACTTTTTTCATTATGACCATAAGACACTTCTTTGTTTCTTTTTTATTTAATATGACCAAAAATTTCTGGAACATGACTTACAACGATAGTTGGACTTGGGAGTAAGCGTATGTAAGGATTCTCTTTTAGTTTTCACCTTGGTATCTCTCTATCTTTACCGAATAGTTGTCATACATTTTTTTACCCATGGGTGAAGACGCTGATAGGCTAGGGGCTCAACAAAATACATTTATCGTGTAAAACATTTGGGTCACCTTAGTAAATTAATTACTTTTGTTAATTCGAAAGTGATTATCAGGATGCTTCTTCCCAGTATGTTTTATTATGTTAAGAGCCAGAAAACAAGTTACTGTATTAATTCCGAATTATATAACATCTTAAGCAGAGTGATGCAAAAATACTGGACCAACAATAAAAAAAAAGGAACTTTATTTTTCAAAATGTGATCTTTATTAATACAGAAAGCCTGAAACGTCAAAGTATGGAGTTAGTAATTAGTGTTGTTTCCTATGGCTTGAATAATCGCCTCATTTCGATGTAGCATGGATCAAGGTCCAGATTTTCTCATTGGGAATTTTTCCCATTCTTCTTGGCAGTAATGCCAAGGCTCGGGGAGTTTGCGTGGTATTACGTACCGAAACACAATCTTTCTTTCATCTCCCTTGTCTAATTCTTGTGGTCTTTGTGTTTGTTTGTTTTTTTTTGTTTGCACTTAAAAAAAAAAAAAAAAACTTCCAGTAGCAGCAAATATCTTTTGGGTCGTTCGAACACTGTTTCTGAACATTATTACCCACCTGGCCATCACTCCTTGGGTCATCTTACACTTCATTCACAACCGTCATCTTTGTTTCGGCAGAAATTTTAGCCTTTGTTCTAGTGTAAAAATAAGCTAATGTTCAACTATAATGACTTTCCAAAGTACCTTAGACCAGAGGTCGACAACCTACTACTGATTGGAAAAAAATTTCTACTAAGGTCCGACCATAAACAGAATTCATATTTAATCTTAGGAAGGTACTCCCTGAGGTAACGTCGTCTAGGCAAGGGGTCGGTAACCTATGGCACGCGTGACACGCCAAGCAATTTCCAATGGCACGCAGCCGCAAATGACATCACGAAGTCCGAACAAATAACTACTACAACACAAAGAAGATATTTATCTATTTCAATTTTAATGTATGCTAAATTATATATACTATATATAACTATATAAAATATATTGTAGCACAGATATATTGACATTGGTTTGGTTTGGTTTACGTTTATCAACCCTCATGGGTTATTTAATGCCGACAAGATTTTTATTGCTGTTAATATATTTTTTTTTTCAAAAATGTATTTCTGGTAATAATTTTTCTTCAAAAATTTATTGCTGGTAATAACTTTTACAAAGTATTTCTGGTATTAAAACCTATTTTTACACTTTCATAGTTTTCTGACTCCAGTTAGGGGTTAACTATTTACCTATAGCTAGGACCCTAACAGGTGCTACCACCCCGAGGCAGGGTGGACCTAGGAACAACAGCAATTATGATGTGGTTCCAAACTCCTCAAAATCTCCTGATCAGAGTTCTTGCTGTTGGATGTAGTTTATCGTCTTACCAAGGATGGTATATTGACTTTGACTTGTATAAAAATACATATGCTGTTGACACACTGAATGATTTTAAAACCTTAAGTCGGCAAATAGTTAGCAAAAGGTTTCCAACCCCTGCATTAGACTCCCGTTAATAAGATGTAATTATTCCTACTTAGAGATTTG